TTCATGACTAAAACACCAAAAGCAGTGGCAGCAGAAGCCAAAATAGACAAATGGGATCTAATTAAACTTAAGAGATTCTGCACAGCAAAAGAAACTATCAATAGAGTTAACTGGCAACCAACAGAATGGGAAAAATTTTTGCAATCTACCCATCTGACAAAGGGCTAATATCCAGAATCTACAAAGAACTAAAGCAGATTCACAAGAAAAAAAACAAACCTATTCAGAAGTGGGCAAAGGACATGAATAGACAATTTTCAAAAGAAGACATTTATGAGGCCAACAAACATATGAAAAAATACTCAACATCACTGGTCATTAGAGAAATGCAAATCAAAACCACATTGATATACCATCTCATGCCAGTTAGAATGGTGATCATTAAAAAATCTGGAGACAACAGGCCAGGTGAGGTGGCTCACATTTGTAATCCTTGTGCTTTGGGAGGCTGAAGCAGGCAGATCACGAGGTCAGGAGTTCAAGACCAGACTGGCCAGCATGGTGAAACCCCATCTCTACTAAAAAATACAAATATTAGCTGGGCATGGTGGCTTGTGCCTATAATTCTAGCTACTTAGGAGCTGAGGTAGGAGAATTGCTTGAACTGGGACACTGGAGGCAGAGGTTGCAGTGAGCCAAGATTGTGCCACTGCACTCCAGCCTGGGCTACAGAGTGAGACTCCAACTCAAAAAAAAAAAAAAAGAAAAGAAAAAAGAAATCTGGAGACAACAGATGCTGGAGAGGATGTGGAGAAATAGGAACAATTTTACACTGCTGGTGGGAGTGTAAATTAGTTCAACCATTGTGGAAGACTGTGGTGATTCCTCAAGGACCTAGAAATAGAAATTCCATTTGACCCAGTAATCCCATTACTGGGTATGTAACCAGAGGATTATAAATCGTTCTATTATAAAGACACATGCACAAATATGTTAATTGCAGCACTGTTTACAATAGCAAAGACCTGGAACCAACCCAAATGCCCATTAATGATAGACTGGGTAAAGAAAATGTGGCACATATATACCATGGAATACTATGCAGCCATAAAAAAGGATGAGTTCATGTCCTTTGTAGGCATGTGAACTGGATGAATCTGGAAACCATCATTTTTAGCAAACTGACACAAGAACAGAAAACCAAACACCACATGTTCTCACTTATAGACGGGCATTGAACAATGAGAACACATAGGCACAGGGAGGGGAACATCTCACACTGGGGTCTGTTGGGAGGTGGGGAATAGGGGAGGGACAGCAGGGGGTGGGGAGGTTGGGGAGGGATAACATTGGGAGAAATGTCTGATGTAGGTGACGGGGGATGGCGGCAGAAAACCACCATGGCATGTGTGTACATATGCAACAATCCTGCAAGATCTGCACATGTACCCCAGAACTTAAAGTACAATAAAAAAAAGAATAAGAGGAGTTCTATAATTACAGATCAATAAACAGAAGCATTATCTTTTGGAAGATAAATAAAACAAGCCAATAAACAACTAATTACCACCTAAAAGTATAAGAAATATATGTAAGGAGAAAACAAACAGTGCTTCATGACGTGTAAATATTAGCCAATCTACTTCAATCAATTTTTAAATGCTCTACTAGAAATAAACAACCGTGTTTAGGCTGAATACACAGACTAAAAGGAAATCCGAAAATCATCAGGCTGGGAAAGATTTAGTTAGCCTGCTGTGGTGGTTAGAAAGCAGCTATTTCTTCAGTTACACAAGCTCACAGTCTAAGCTTAGCTCTGGGAAACTTGCTTACTGATGGTGAAGAGTCCAGAATGCAGCATAAATGAAAGCCCCTACCGTAAAATTTCCTCACTCTTGATTCTACTTTTTAATACACAATCCTCACCAGCTCTTTTTTTTTATAGCCCATCTTTTCTGCATAATGATAAAACAAGCTTTAATGTGAATAGTGGCCTATAATTATTTCATTTCACAAATATTCTATTTCATTTTACAAATAACACTGGTCTAATATTCATTAATAAAAAAAATCTATCCAATAAAAGTTATCTATCACCTGAGACCCACCAGGGCCTATTTTCAGTTCTAGATGAAAATATGAGATAAATGAGTAAAAACTCAAATTTTGATCACAGACTATGAGCCAAAACCCTGTTAGTTCCCTTAAATACTTGACTGCATTTCATATTCACAAAAGCTCGGTCATGTAATTATTCTCTATCGCAATTTTACACAACATCAATCTTTCTCATCATATTAAGAATACATGTGAAAATGTAAGAAAGCATACATAAAATATGGAAAATACAAGAAAGCATAACGAGAGAAAAAAAATCAGACACCTCTAATCAAACATTGTAATTTTCTTCCAAGGTTTTTCTTTGCCTATTAGAGCCTACTGATATGCATTTTCCAATGCATTAAGAATATTTAAATATTTCTTTTGTAGCTATAAAATATCTCATTTTGTCTATTAATGTACATCATCTTCTGTGGTTGCTAAGAAAAAACATGCAAAAGTGTTTCACCAAGTATCTGATCATTTTCTTTGACTGGATCCTAGAAGTGAAATTACTTGCCAAGAGGTGTAATTTCTAAAATATTCTCGATCCCTATTGTTGAGATTCTTTCCATAAATATTATAGTTGTTTATTATCCACCAGCAGCATGTGAGTATCCATGCATTTGCCAGCATTTAGAATTATAATGCATTAATATTTTAATAATATAATAGGTGAAATAGAATCATTTTAATTGCATATTTTTCTTCACTTTACAGGACATTTTCTTTCTTATAAATTATCTATTTGTCAATGGATAATTTAAATGAAATGATTATCATATATTTCTTACTGATTTCTTATTTTCTTTATATGTCAGAAACATTCTTTATTTTCCTAGTTTTTCATTTAGCTTCTAATTACACATTTTGTATCAGAAGCTTTCGATTCTGCAATCCCTATTTTTGCCTTTATAATTTCTTCTACTTTCACTCTTTAAAAGTCATCTTCGTAGACTATCCATGAAGCTTATTTCTGACCTTGAAATCCAAGCAATCGTCAAGTTCTACAGCTCGACATCTCTTGTTGTGTATGTTTCTATTTCCAAGATACCAATTCAAACTACTATAATCAAACTACTATATTCAAACTACTATAATCTCCTGACTATTCCAGTGGCTTCCCAACTATATTCTCAATCTCTAGACCTCCTCACTTTTAATCCATGCTCCTCACTGGCACCAAAGTAATCATCACCTTGCATAAAGCTTTTCAAGAGTGTTCTGTTTCTGTCAGGATAAAATCGAATTATTAACCAGGCTGAGAAGGCCATATCCTCCAGCCTCATTTCTCCCCACCCCTTGCTCACTCAATAGAGTGAGGTATTGCTTACTCTCTCTATGCCTGAAGACACTCTTCTTCCTGAGCTTCCCTCAACCCTTCATTTTCCTTCAGGAAACACTTCCATTCACCTTCCAGATCACACACTCTGTATCCTCCAGGAAGCATTCTGTGATGCCATCGCCGCTCACCCAACTCCTTCCTCCCTGGGCTGAGTTATGAGTATTTTTAGTAGAGATGGAGTTTCTCCATGTTGGTCAGGCTAGTTGTGAACTCTTGACCTCAGGTGATCCGCCCACCTCGGCCTCCCAAAGTGCTGGGATTACAGGCATGAGCCACTGCACCTGGCCCTGAATTTTTGTTTTTGGTAGAGATGAGATCTCTCTCACTGTGTTGCCCAGTTTGTTCTACTGTGTGTTCAAATTGATGTTTCCAATACTTTAAATACTGGAGTACCACAAATATTAGAAAGGCTGTATCTACATTATAAACTGTGGAAGTGAAAGACAGTTTTAAATGTAATCACATTTTGTGAAAAAATGAAAGTATCCACAAGTGCTATACTTTAATTTTCTGGTTGAAAACAGAAAAACCAAGTTATAAAACACTTGAAAGCCAAGTTATAAAATTCTCCAGTATACCTTTGGGAATTGAGCACCAGTGTGTCTAAACCCCTCTGAGACTGCAGGTGACCTGGTCAGCAATAGGAAGCCATAAAAACTCAAGTAGTAACAGTATGCTGTGAGGATGCCTCTCTGCAGGACACGGGGCTGCAATTTGCAAGCTGTGGGTGGACTCTGCATTTGAATCCCACAGCTCTGTATCACAGACAGAAACAATTGGAAAAAACACAAGTCAGACAAGTCAGCTTAGCTATCAATTATAAAAGAAAGCTCTGTTGAAAGAACTCTTCTATCCTCACCAAAAGTCTCCCAAAACTTGTTTTTCAGGACTAGGCTATGAATAGAGTTGGAAAGTTGCCCCCATATACATTAATCACTCCTTAGGTTAGAAGTCAGAATATACCACAGAGAAGTTGGGCATGGGGAACCATGTTACCCTATTCTGCCCCCACACTCTGACTTTACTCCTTGGTACATTCAAATAAGGAATGGTAATTTTCTTATTTGGGGAAGATAGGGTGGAGACAAAATCCTCATAAATATAAACCTCTCTCTCTCACAGCTCAGCAACTTGCAATGTTTTTAGCAGTAGAGAAAAAAATAAATATGACTTATTACCTATACAGCACTATTCGAGTTTACCATTTCACTAAAAGCATCATTTATGAAAACAGAAAGATCCTTAAAAAAAAAAAAAAGTTTGTGTAATCACTTGAGAAACTAAACCAGCAGGTGCTGGTCCCTTCACTTAAGAAACGTATTATCCTTTCTGTGACAAGATTCACCAGCTGACAACTCCCACTCAGAAAATCAAATAGGTGCTCGTCTCTGTGATGCCGTAATGTGTGAAATTGCCAGGAAGTTCAATGCAATGTGACCTAAAAGCACAGCAAGGAAGAGCAGAACTAACAGCCCGCTGGAGGCTGTCAAAATTTACAGGAAGAAAAGACAAAGATAATACAGTAAGTTTTAATTTTAATCATTTGTGAGGAACACAGAGAAAGCTGTGCACATACAGCAGATGTATTTCTGTTTGCAAGCATAATTCAACTTACCTCTATTGAGCAAAAAGCCAGGACTTTTTGGCTAACCAGCCTGTAGTGATTCCCTGGGAGGATCTGGCTGAAACAAATGGGAACCCGGAGTTTATTCAGTGGAGTCTCAACCCCTACCTGACTGTATTAATGAACAGTTCAGAGGTTTCTTGCTCAGCAGCTGAGTCACTTAGGGAGGAGGTGTGTGGTATGCAACAGGGTGGCACCTTGTACAAATACCAATTCAATTAAAGCAGTCTCACTCAGAGACCTACTGTCTTTGGTTGGTGAATTCTTTAATTTATGACCATGTTATACAAAAAAAAAAAATGCTCCTGTGATCACCCTTTTAACTGATGACAACAATATACACAACCATATCACTCACAAGGTAGCCCAGGACCCAACCTACTTTGTATTCTCCTTCAAAAAATAGAACTGAAAACTCAAGATAGAAGGAATATACCCACAGTATCTGAAGGGTAGGGGCACAGACAAGCTTGCAAGGAGACCATGGCTTAAAGGAAGCTTCAAGACAAACAAGTTCTCAGAAACCCAGGAACCCTAAGATCAGAAAACACGAAAGAAATCTGTTGCACACATTCTACACCTAGAATATTTTGTAAAACTATCAGAGGGATAATAACCTGGCACGTAAGAATTATAATCTCTGTATTATTTCTCCATGTATAAAAAATGTGAAAAGGGGCCAGGTGTGGTGGTTCACACCTGGAACCCCAGCACTTTGGGAGGCTGAGGCGAGTGGATCACTTGAGGTCAGGAGTTCAAGATCAGCCTGGCCAACATGATAAAACCTGTCTCTACCAAAAATATAAAAATTAGCCAGCATAATGGTGCATGCCTGTAGTCCTGGCTACAGGGGAGGCTGAGGCAGGAGAATCGCTTGAACCAGGGAGGTAGAGGTTATGGTGAGCCAAGATCACGCCACTGCACTCCAGCCTGGACAACAGAGTGAGACTCTATCTCAGAAAAAAAGTTAAAAGGATGGTTGACACTTCTTTCACAGCTGAGGGCAGCAGTAGACTCAATGTCAAAGGCTGCTTCTGGCCAGCTGCAGTACCTTTCACCTGCACTTTGGGAAGCCAAGGTGGGAGGATCACTTGAGCCAAGAAGTTCAAGACAAACTGGGCAACACAATGAGAGAGATCTCATCTCTACTAAAAATAAAAATTCAGGGCCAGGTGCGGTGGTTCATGCCTGTAATCCCAGCACTTTGGGAGGCCGAGGTGGGCGGATCATCTGAGGTCAGGAGTTCACGACTAGCCTGACCAACATGGAGAAACTCCATCTCTACTAAAAATACAAAATTAGCCAGGCATGGTGGTGCATGCCTGTAATCTCAACTACTTGGGAGGCTGAGGCAGGCGAATCACTTGAACCCAGGAGGTGGAGGTTGCGGTGAGCCGAGATGGCGCCATTGCACACCAGCCTGGGTAACAAGAGTGAAACTCCATCTCAAAGCAAAAAGTAAAATAAAATAAAAATCAGCTGGGTGTGGTAGCGCATGTCTATGGACCCAGTTACTCAGGAGGCAGAGGCAGGAGAGTCCCTTGAACATGGGAGGACGAAGCCACAGTAAGATGTGATCATGCCACCACATTCCAGACTGGGTGACAGAGTGAGACCCTATCTCAAAAAACAACAAAACAAAACAACCACCAAGGCTGCTTCTGCTTGGAGGGAGTAACACTGAAGAGCCATCCTAGGTGGGGACTCTTGTTACAGGTTTTAAAATGCACCTTCCATAAGAGCCAAAGAGGCTTTAAAGAAGCTTATCAAATCTGGAACACTGCTGAGAGAAGCCAGGTCATCAGAACTTCCTGGGTCATTGACATTCATAGGCCACATCAGCAATGAATGTACAGGGGAACCAAATCTCCCCATACAACTGCTCCTGAAAACTACAGTGCAGCTGAACAATGCCTGTAGAAATGAACATAGCATGAAGCAGAAACCCAGAGTGGAGAGCAAGACAATTGCAGTATGTGGTCACTGCGAATTGGGAAGCTACTTCCTTCATGTTTGCTAATGTTCCCTCATTCCGGGCTAAGGAATTTGAAAATCTAGAAAATTTTCTTTCAAAGTAAAATATATATACATGTCTACTTGGACTTTTTATGGAACTTTATATAGCAAAATATTTTAAAAACATGCTTTAAATTTCTGTGATGCCCAAAAATCTTGGTTAAATGTTAATATTACAAATGATGAACGTGAAAAACAAAGATGTGACTTAACTCAAAAGATAAACTAGAAGCGATCTTTAGCCCTAGAACTTAGCCAAAATGAAGGGCAGACACAGTGTAAGAGATCCCTTGAAGGGATAAGTTGTAATTTACATTACAGAATGTTGAAAGATATTACTTCATAAAACACAAAACCAGAAAAATAGGTTCTTATCTTACAATGAAGTAAAGTACAGCTGCCCAAATTACGGATTTTGAGCTTCCAAGCAATTATTTCTGCAAGCAATTAAGGGTTTCTCTTACTTTATGCACCAGACCATCCACATTGCTAAGCCAAGCCAGTGTCTTTTCATTTAGAATTAAATGTCTAGTGAAAAATAGGAACTAATTTTAAACCATTGAGCAAAATTCAGATCTCTTCATGCTAAGCAGACATGACTGCCTAAAATTTAAAATCTCAAATGTGAAGAGGTTGAATCAGGAACATTTTGGGGTGTGGAGGTAGCCAAATAGGCTGGACATCAGTTTCACTCAGGTCTTGAACTGGGAAGCCTTGGGCATGCTTGGAATAACTTGGCTTCACCACACCTATTCACTGTCAGTGTCAGAGTTCTTGAGATCTCTCTAGAACTGTAAACTCAGAAGCTGAAATGCCAAATGGTTTTTATCTCAGGTACAAAAGCCAATTGATTGGTGATGGCTTCCTGAGGAGTATGGTGAGGTTTGTAAGCAAGCTGGGACTCGACAGGGGAGTGTTATGGTTAATCAGCAATATCCAGCACAGGTCTTGGATGGGGGAATGTTTGCTGATCCTGTCTCATAAAATTAGACATTGCTACATCACATTGCTTTGTCTATGTGTTATACCCAAAGGAACAACCAGCCAAAATGAGCACTTAATATTACATAATAACAAAAATAGTAAATACTTATAGAACACTTTTAACATGTGAGGCATTGTTCTAGGATGCTTTCATACATTGTTATTAAATGATTGTCACCTCCTCGCCACAAAGAGATTCTAAAACCAATACTGAAAAGGCAAATAATACAAGAAGGACAAATCAGCACCTCAAAACTCTATTCTATCACTCCTGGACTTTGAGAGTTTGAAAGATAGAGGCTTCCCGGTTTTCCTTCTAGGTGGGGGAAATAAATGTTATATGCCTATTAAAACAAAAGAGATACCATTAGGGTGGTAATTACAGTGGCAATTTCTCTTGTCTTAGAGTAGGTAGAATTAATGAATTGCCATCCATGCTTCCAGAGCTGGTGCATTGCTTAATACACTTCGATGGCACAAGCATGATACAGACCAATGGCGAACACAACACAGAACCCATGGTGACCTGAGTTGAATTTGCTGTAGAGACTCACTGTTCACTATGGGCAAATTATGCCTATGTCCTTCTTGCTGCAGTGAAGTTGATGGTAACTCATTTTACCAGCTGGACAGATCACAATGATGATAGCAGGCTTTTAAAATCAGCACTCCAAATCTGTGCTCTAGACAACATTAGAAGGAATCAGGAAAACTCATTCCTGAGTTCCTGAGGCTTTCTGATTCTTTCTCAAGCTCCCAACAGGTAACTAAAGTGCATCAGCAGCATGTGCCAAGTATGTGCGCATCATTCCTAAGTGCTTTACACCAATTATATCATTGATCCTCACAACTACAGGAACTGTTGTTATGTTCTTATCGCAAAAGCCCCAGATCACACAGCTAGAAATTAGAGATGTCCAGAATCGCACTCCGGTCATACTGACGGTAGAGCCCACGTTCCCAGTATGAAGCTCCACTCCTCTAAACTACCAGAAAGGAGAACGGGCACTTTAACCTAGAGACGAGCTACATTCTGGTCACAAGGTGAGCTAAAGTTACAGCAGCCCTGAGCCCAGGCTAATAGGTAACAGAAGAATACAATGACTTTTAGCAGAAAACATAGGTATAAATGCATATATGTATATTGTGGATAGTATCAAAAATATTATACCACAGCCCACAGACATTAACACACAATGCCAGAACCAGAGAATGACCAGGATTTGCTTCAGAATCAGTCTTTTAATGATAGTGCAGATACAGCTTATTGGTTTTCTTTTTTTTTCTCTTAAATAGACTTTTTTTTTTAGTTTTAGGTTCATAGCAAAATTGAGAATAAACTACAAAGAGTTCATGTCTAGCTCAGCATCTCCACTCCACTATCAACATCCCACATCACAGCGGTACATTTGTTACAATGGATGAGCCTGCACAGATGCATCACTAACACCCACAGTCCGTAACTTATGTAGAGTTCACTCCTGGTTTTGCATATTCTTTGAGTTTGGACAAACACATAATGACATATATCCACCATTATAGTACCATACAGAGTAGTTTCACTGTCCTAAAATATCCCTCATATGTTGCCTATTCATAACTCGCTCCCCCCAACCTCTGTTAACCACTGATCTTTTTACTGTCTTCATAGTTTTGTCTTTTGCAGAACCTCATACAGTTGGAATTATGTAGTATGTAGCATTTTTCAGACTGGCTTCTTTTACTTAGTAATATACATTTAAGTTTTCTTCATGTCTTTCCATTTAAATTTTCTCCATGGCTTGATAGTTCATTTCTTTTTATTGTTAAATAATATTCCAAGGCCAGGCATGGTGGCTCACACCCATAATCCCAGCACTTTGGGAGGGTGAGGTGATAGGATTGCTTTTTGTATTTTTAGTACAGATGGGGTTTCACCATGTTGGCCAGGCTGGTCTGAAACTCCTGACCTCAGGTGATCCACCTGTCTGGGCCTTCCAAGGTGCTGGGACTACAGACGTGAGCCACCACGCCCACCCCACTCACTGCTTTCTTAAAACAAGGGAAGATATCTCTGCATTTTAGAGATTGCCCAAATAATAATTATCATAAACTTATTGCCCAAGGTTGGAACCTCCATCGTTGCCTCCTGCCTCACCCTCT